TACCCTTACAGGAAATCAATCCTAACAAATGTTTTTAATATGGTATAAGGAGACAGCAGCCCATAGTAAATGAAATGGCGCAGTTCTGAAAAAAAGTTGTAACATACCTGTACAATTTACTGCTATGGAAGAAATTTTATAATTTAAAGTGTTACTAAACCCAGGACTTTACATTCACTATATCCGGTATTCCACAGTACACAGAACATGGAAATGCAATTATTTTAGTAAATATAAACTGCTAAGTACCTGCAGCAGTATATAACAAACTTCTCCTCTGACTGTCTTATGAGGCTGCATAACCCCTGACCCTCTGTCTGGACAGTGCTGATTGGCCCTGTGCTGATCACATGCACCCTCCCAAAGAAAAAAATACTCTCCAGCAACGCATACCAAACTGAGCATGTGTGGCTTGTCCCCAAAGCTCTGTTTTATAAGCAGATGGATTGGGGACAGTAGAAGTAGGGGAGGATCGGAGAAAACAGGATCAAACAGCCTTTTTACACAATGCTGAGGATTAACCCCTTGAGTTCCACAGTGAGTGTAACAAGCATGCTTTACTGTATATACAGACTGATTTTACAGTTGTGGGCTTAGAAACACTTTAACCTCCCTAGCGGTCTGATTATGTCCATATTTTCTGTGCTCAAAGCGGTACATTTTTTGCATGGAAATATGTATTTTTTTATTGTAGGCCTGTAATTTTTAGGAATAACTCACTGAAATCTGTCCAAACAAGTGTCTAGTAAACATCCCGGGTAGGATAAAACTTGAAACACGAAATCATAAATTATAATTTAATAAATAATCATAAAAAATAATATAATAATAATAAATTTAATTCAATAGTATAATCAAACCAAAAACACAGAAATTTGAAATGTAGCGCCAAGCTCGCACACCACTGAGCAAAGTCGCAAAATCGTTTTCAGTGTCTGATGAGGAATTCCCTCACAAATCATCACTCAATTCTGCAAGTAGTTCTAATTTACTATCGCTGTTCTCTAGCCGGTCTAAAACCGTTTTTTGACATAAAGGGACGTTTTTTGGACGCCATGGACGTTTCTCAGTTTCCAGGCAGAAAGAACAGTAAAAATGCAGGCAGGGCACAGGACAAAGCACTAGGGACAAAATGTATGTGAAATGGTTTAATACAGTAATGTTATACTATGTGATTTTAGTGAATGTCACATTTTGTCATTTTCAAATTTCCCGCCGTTCCGTCCTCCGTACGTCCCGGCGCTAGCAGGGGACGGAACCCAGATGACAGATGCCGGCATCTGCTGGATTACATTTCCGGGAACACTGCAGGAGAGACATCGGGAGCGAAGGACAAGGTACGTGATCGAGGGATCGCGGAGCAGCGCTGCATGCTAAGCCCGAGTGTAGCTCGGGGTTACCACTTGTGGTACTGAAACTTTACCCCGAGCTACACTCGGGAATACCGCCAGGGAGGTTAATGTCATTAAAAACTAAATTCCACCTGCAGCTGTGATTTTCGAAATGTTGCTTCTGTGCAAGTTTTAAAGCGAGGGTTTTCTGCACACTGCATGTTATGATCTTTTTCACCCTATGTAAACACATAGGTCCATTGGAGCTACGCAGATGGTAGCATGAATATTGATACAGCCTCAGCCTATCCCAGAGAGGGGCTCAAATGCATGCTAGGTACAGTGCATCCAGAAAGTATTCACAGCACTTAACTGTTGCCACATTTTGTTATGTTACAGCCTTATTCCAAAATGGATTCAATTCATTTTTTTCCTCAACATTCTACAAACAATACCCCATAATGACAAAGTGAAACAAGTTCGCTTTGAAATCTTTGCAATTTATTAAAAAAAACAACAAAAAAAACAAGTCTTCACAGCCTTTGGCATGACACTCAAAATTGAGCTCTGGTGCATCCTGTTCCCACTGATCATCCTTGAGATGTTTCCACAACTTGATTGGAGTCCACTTGTGGGAAATTCAGTAGATTGGACATGATTAGGAAAGGCATAAACCTGTCTATATATGGTCCCACAGTTAACAGTGCATGTCAGAGCACAAACCAAGCCATGAAGTCCAAGAAATTGTCCATATACCTCCGAGACAGGATTGTATCAAGACACAGATCTGGGGAAAGGTACAGAAACATTTCTGCAGCATTGAAGGTCCCAATGAGCACATTAGCCTCCATCATCCATAACTGGAAGAGGTCTGGAACCACTAGGAATCTTCCTAGAGTGGCCTGCCTATCCAAAATGAGCGAACGAGGGAGAAGGGCCTTAGCCATGGAGGTAACCAAGCACCCGATGGACACTCTGTAAGAGCTCCACGTTTCTCTGTGGAGAGAGAAGAACCTTCCAGAAGAACAACCACCTCTGCAGCACTCCACCAATCTGGCCTGTATGGTAGAGTGGCCAGACGGAAGCCACTCCTCAGTAAAAGACAAATGGCAGTTCACCTGGAGTTTGCCAAAAGGCATCTGAGGGACTCTCAGACCATGAGAAACAAAACTCTCTGTTCTGACGAAACAAAGATTGAACTCTTTGGCCTGCATGCCAAGCGTCATGTATGGTGGAACCAGGCATCACTCACCACCTGGCCAATATCATACCTACAGTGAAGCATGGTGGTGGCAGCATCATGCTGTGGGGATGTTTTTCAGCGGCAGTAAATAAGAAACTAGTCAGGATCAAAGGAAAGATGAATGCAGCAATGTAGAGAGACATCCTTAATGAAAACCTGTTCCAGAGCGCTCTGGACCTTAGACTGAGGCAATGTTTCATCTTTCAACAGGACAACGACCCTAAGCACACAACCCACATAACAAAGGAGTGGCTACAGAGTGGCCCAGCCAGAGCCTAGACTTTAACCAGATTGAACATTACTGGAGAGATCTGAAAATGGCTGTGCACCGACGCTCCCCATTCAACCTGATGGAACTTGAGAGGTATTGCAAAGAAGAATGAGAGAAATTGCCCAAAAACAGGTGTGCCAAGCTTGTAGCATCATACTCAAAACGACTTGAGGCTGTAATTGGCGCTAAAGGGGCTTCAACAAAGTATTGAGCAAAGGCTGTGAATACCTATGTACATGTGGGTTTTTTTTCGTTTTTTTATTTTTAATAAATTGCAAAGATTTCAAAACAAACTTCTTTCACATTGTCATTATGGAGTGTTGTTTGTAAATTGTTGAGGAAAAAAAAATGAATTTAATCCATTTTGGAATAAGGCTGTAACATAACAAAATGTGGCAAAAGGTAAGCACTGTAAACACTTTCTGGATGCACTGTACCTGTAAATATTCAGTGGGCACATGGGGCTCTGGGACTTTCCTGGCTAGGATTGCCCAAGCCTGAGACAGGACATGTTGCCCTTCCCAGGCAGCTATTGCCATGTGGCCTTAGATGGGTGACCTGAGGGCCAGAATTGTTGAAACCCTGGTTCAGCTACCCTGACTGAGAGACCATCTACTGGCCTCTACTGGAAGTCAGCTGCAGGTTTAGCAAAGGAAATACTGGCTGGTGTTCCAAAGAGCTTGTCCTTCTGCCCAATACTACTTAAAGGGACACTGTTCTGGAGCTCTAAAGAATGTACTACTTGTTGCTACTGCTAAAACTGAAGTCAACTGATTGATTCAAGCATTGACTTGGATATAGCTTGTTCTGAAGATTAGAGTCCTCAGTGTACATAGTTCCTAAGCTGGAGTCTCCCAGTCATTTCCCTCATCCCCATCCCTATTCAACAAAAATAAAAACAACAAGAACAACACCCTTAGACTGATTATTGGAAAAACAAGTGAATGAGCCTTTGTGCCTGGCTGCAGGGCAAGATATTTGGATAGGACCTGGAAAGCATGTAGCACTGCATGTATAGCAAAAGTTATACCATTTCGACCATGGCTGATGATATACCTCCCATGTTTTAGATGAGACCGAATTCCTCAAGGCAGTAGTGATTAATCCAAAAAGGTCAGCATCCGGTGCCCATTCTCAAATCTGGAAAACTACAAATGAGACAACGAGTCCACAGTACTAGTAGTTACACCTGGTAAATGTTTAACTTTAGGCCATACATTAAATTTCATGCAATGCAGAACTAAAAAACCAAGAAACTTAAACTCTGACTTGGAAGACAAACTATTGACAGTAAATAAGAACCTTTATTATCAGTGTGAATGATTACCTTACAGTTTTGAAAAATCTTACACCAAATGAACACAGACACCACTACTGGAAATATCTCTAATAACTATAGTATGCAAAATTTTGGGAATTTTACAAGATGGATGCTATTCAGACGCACACCAATGACCAGACAGGCTCCAAAACCTATAGAGCCAGAGGTGTCAGTAAATAAACCAAAGTGAAAATTGTCACTAAAGTCTTGTTTCCATATCATATAACCATAAAAGCCAAGCAGGAACTCATTCCACAGCTTCAAGTCCTCTTTAACCACTTATCCTCCAGAGGATTTACCCCCCCCCCGACATAGATTAAATGTATGTCCTTTTTTCCCACAAATAGAGCTTTCATTCTGTTGTATTTGATACCTGTGTGTTTTTTATTTTTTGCGCTATAAACAAAAAAGACCAACAATTTTGAAAAAAAAAAATAATTTTGACTTTTTGCTATTAACCACCTCCCGCCCGCCATATAGTAATATGATGGACACAAGGTGGTTCTCTCGTTCTGGGAAGACGTCATATGACGTCCTCCCATTCTCACCACACATGCGCGGCTCAGGGAGCGTGCAGCGTGGCGATCAGTGGTGCGCTGTGTCCCTTGGACACAGCAGATCACCGATCACAGAAAGAGCCGAAGATGTCATGTGCTCGGTCATGTGATCAGTTGTGTCTGGTTATTAGCATCTCTCTCTTCTCAAGCTGTCACGCTCACAGATCGAGAGGAGAGGAGAGCAGGTAATCGGCTTTCCACGGAAGGGACATGTACACTGATCATCAGAGCACTGATGGTCAGTGTTCCCTGATGATCAGTGTAGCCCCAGCAGCACCACCTGTCAGTGTCCATCAGTGCCTTGTGTCAGTGCTCATCAGTGCCTATCAGTGCCACATCAATGCCACACATCAGTGCCTACCAGTGCACATCAATGCCACATATCAATGTCACCCATCAGTGCCAGTCAGTGCCACCTATCAATGCCAATCAGTGCCACCTATCAGTGCTGCCAATCAGTGCCACCTATCAGTGCCAGTCAGTTCCGCCTATCAGTGAGCATCAGTGCCACATATCAGTGCCTGTCAGTCCTGCCTAACAGTGCCAGTCAGTGCCGCCTATATGTGCTGCCTATCAGTGCCATGTATCAGTGCTGCCTTTCAGTGCCCATCAGTGATGCCTGTCAATGCCCATCAGTGCCACCTACCAGTGCCTCCTCATCAGTGTCCATCAGTGCCACCTATCAGTGTCCATCAGTGCAGCCTATCATTGTCCATCACTGCAGCCTCATTAGCGCATATCAGTGAAGAAGAAGAATCACTTATTTACAAAATTGTATAACAAAAACTAAGAAAAAACTTTTTTTTTCTAAATTTTCAGTGGTTTTTGGCTTGTTTAAGAAAAATTACCGTATTTTTCGCTCCATAAGACGCACCTGACCATAAGACACACCTAGGTTTTAGAGGCAGAAAACAGGAAAAAAAAATTCTGAACTAATGGACTGCAGACATAGTACAGGAGATGACCAGAGACTGCGGACACAGTACAGGAGTTGACCAGAGACTGCGGACACAGTACAGGAGATGACCAGAGACTGCGGCCACAGTACAGGGAATGACCAGAGACTGCGGCCACAGTACAGGAGATGACCAGGGACTGCGGACATAGTACAGGAGATGACCATAGTCTGCGGACATAGTACAGGAGATGGCCATAGACTGCGGACACAGTACAGGAGATGACCAGAGACTGCGGACACAGTACAGGAGATGACCAGAGACTGCGGACATAGTACAGGAGATGACCAGAGACTGCGGACACAGTACAGGAGATGACCAGAGACTGCGGACACAGTACAGGGATAACCAGAGACTGCGGACACAGTACAGGGATAACCAGAGACTGCGGACACAGTACAGGGATAACCAGAGACTGCGGACACAGTACAGGGATGACCAGAGACTGCGGACACAGTACAGGAGATGACCAGAGACTGCGGACACAGTACAGGAGATGACCAGAGACTGCGGACACAGTACAGGAGATGACCAGAGACTGCGGACACAGTACAGGAGATGACCAGAGACTGCGGACACAGATGACAGGACTGTGGATAGTACAGGGGATGACCAGAGACTGCGGACACAGTACAGGAGAATGACCAGAGACTGCGGACACAGTACAGGAGATGATGACCTGTAAGAGACTGCGGCGTGACACAGTGTGCATGAGCGAGAAGCACTTACAGGAGATGACCAGAGACTGCGGACACAGTACAGGAGATGCATGAGACTGCGGCTGTCATGACAGTACAGGGATGACCAGAGACTGTGGATAGTACAGGGGATGACTGCTGACCTTTGGGGAGGGGGGGGGAGCGGGTACCTGAATTTGACAGATACCCGCTCCCACTTCCGCGTAGTTGTTCTTTCATCTTACCTGTTCCTCTATCCAGCCGCGCGCTGTCTTCCCGGCTTCTGTAATGGCGCTCGGCATGACAGCTGGGTGCCCAGTGCGCATGAGCGAGAAGCACTTGCGCTTTGTGATTGGTCCGGCGGCTTCTGTCATAAAAATGGGATCTGTCATGTGTCCCAGGTGCCGCGCCTTACCATTCAAAAAAAGCACCGCTTCTTGCGCATGCGCACTTGGCCCGGCTGTCATGCCCACACTACAGAAGCCGGGAAATTGGACCGTGAAAGTTATAGCATCTACAAACAGAGGTATATATGCTGGAATTTGTACTTTTTTTTTTTTTACTAGTAATGGCAGCAATCAGTGACTTATTGTGGGACTGCAGGCATTCTGACACTGGGGGGTACTGACTAACTGCCACTAACATCCCCAGTGACACTAATACAGTGATCAGTGCTAATAAAAAGCACTGACACTGTACTAATGACACTGGGCAGGAAGGGGTTAACATCTTGGGTGATCAACGGGCTCACTGTGTGTGTTTTACTAAGGAAGCAAGCTGCTTTGTATTGCTCTGATAACATCCCGAAAGGACAGTTCTTACGCCTTCACAGGAACTGCGATAAAATCGATGATTTCGTGACACAGTCAGAAACTCTCATGAAACAATTTTTAGAAAAAGGGTATAATGCAACTATTCAAAGGCAGGCTGCCTTTGAAAAAGTGCTAGGTACACTTTCTTATGGACATCAGACTACCAGATTGTTACTATTTGGACATCATTTATCCATTGTGAGTTTTTAATCTTTTCATTTTAACCTTGAATAAATTAAAAGTTACTGCACTATGGGAAGTCTTTTTGCTTTTGGCTCACTTCTGGTGAGTCTTTTCCACAAGGATACCCATTGTGACCTGACTGAAGTTACTAGTGTGATTCCCCTGGTGGCGAATCCATCTTCGGTGCCAAATACTACCTGATGGTGTGCTGTCTGCCCCCTGATGCCCACCAGATGACCTGATGTTTTAAGTAACCTGATGCTGATGACCAGGAGTTGGTCCTTAATACTCAAATGCGCATTCATTTGCGCTCTCTGGTGAGTGCAATCTACGGCCATTTATTTTATTTTATCTTTCACCATCACGGATCTACACTAATCAGAGACTAATCACATATGCACCTGGAAACGCCAATTGGAGACGTTCTTATCACATCTATACTTCACCATATGTTTATAGTGATTTCACCATGCGCCATAGTGCGTGTATTGATTTCTGGCACCTTAAATTTTTGCGGATATTATATCTTGTCATCTATTTATGTCACTATCATAGATAAGGTCATTGAACTTGGTCACTTTCATATTTTTAAACCTTTGCGGATATTATAGCTTGTCATCTTATATTATCTATTTATGTCACTATAACAGATAAGGTCATTGACCTTGGTCACTTTCATATTTTTTAATTTTGTTATATTGGTATCATATAATTTACGATTTTATGTGTTTTATCATATTTTTAGCGCTGCATGAGTTTTTATTTTATTGTTAATGGTATTATAACAAAGTGGAAGCAACTGGGAACAACAGCAACTCAGCCATGAAGTGGTAAGCCACGTAAAATGACAGAGTGGGGTCAGCGCATGGTGAAGCACACAGTGTGCAGAAATCACCAACTGTCTGCAGAGTCAATAGCTAAAGACCTCCAAACTTTGTGTGGCCTTCAGATTAGCACAACAGTGCATAGAGAGCTTCATGGAATGTGCTTCTATGGTCAAGCAGCGGCATCCAAGCCTTACATCACCAAGTGCAATGCAAAGCGTCGGATGCAGTGGTGTCAAGCACGCCGCTACTGGACTCTAGAGCAGTGGAGTGATGAATCACGATTCTCTGTTTTGCAATCCAATGGCTGTGTCTGGGTTATTATTATACATTTTTTATTATTATACAGTATTTATAAAGCGCCAATAGTTCACTCAGCGCTGTACATTACAAAGGGGGACAGAACATGTGACAGAACAATACCAATACAATGCAAAACATGAGGGGATCGAGGGTTTTGCGGATTATGGTGTGGGGTTGTTTTTCAGGGGTTGGGCTTGGCCCCTTAGTTCCAATGAAGGGAAGGCATCAGCATACCAAAACATTTTGGACAATTTCATGCTTCCAACTTTGTGGGAACAATTTGGGGATGGTCCCATTCCTGTTCCAACATGACTGCGCACAGTGCACAAAGCAAGGTCTATAAAGACATGGATGATCGAGTTTGGGGTGGAGGAACTTGACTGGACTGCACAGAGTCCTGACCTCAACTCGATAGAACACCTTTGGGATGATTTACAGTGGAGACTGCAAGCCAAGCCTTCTTCATCTGATATCTGACCTCACAAATGCACTTCTGGAAGAATGGTCAAACATTCCCATAGACACACTCCTAAACCTTGTGGACAGCCTTCCCAGAAGAGTTAAAGCTGTTATAGCTGCAAAGGGTGTGCCAACTCAATATTGAACCCTATGGACTAAGGCTGGGATGCCATTAAAGTTCATGTGCGTGTAAAGGCAGGCGTCCCAATACTTTTGGAAATATAGTGTATCCTGGAATAGAGTTCTGTACTCTAACTTACTAATGTAAAGGACTCAGTGTTGCAGCTGTAAACGGACAGTCTTTTCTCTTAATTCTTCAGCTGGCTAGTATTGGGACCCAATTTTACTGTCGGTGCACATGAGAATGGCTAGGGTATGGTGCAATGCCCCCTGAAAGGTACACCTTAGCATAAGCAATATTTAAAGGACTCAGGTGCCACTGCAGCTGTAAAGGGATAGTCTTTTGTCTTAACTATTCAGTTGGCTAGTATAGGGACCCAGTTGTACTGTTGGTGCACATGAGAATGGCTAAGGTACTCTAAGAGAAAGGCTAGGGTATGGTGCAATGTCCCCTGAGAGATACCTCTTAGCATAAGAAATAGGTAAAGGACTCAGTGTTGCAGCTGTAAAGGGACATTCTTTTGTCTTAATTCTTCAGCTGGCTACTATTGGGACTCAGTTGTACTGTCGGTGTGCATGAGAAGCGACCCAGTCAAACCTTTGGCTACTAGATGGCTGTATGGTCAGTTCCTAAAGGGCCCATTCTCTCTAGCAGAATACAGTAAATCCCCACAGCAGCAGCTCACCAGTCCCAGCTCATCATCTGGTCACACAGAGTGATTAGTCCACTCTCTGCTCTGCACCCAGGTGACTTACTGTCGGCACCCCTGATCTCAGCACTCTTGATTCCCATTTAGGCCACTGATATGCAGCAGTGGTGATGCACACTGGACAGTGATGTGCACTCTCCAGTCCCCCTCACGCCAAGATGAAGTTGGCTCCTGTATAATTCTGGAAAATGCAGCTCTTTCCCCCCCACATGGCAATTTCTCTGTGAGAAATGAAGTTGAGAAGCTCTTGATTACAGTAGAGTTTCTCTCCTCTGGACTACAGTTTCCTCAGTGCAGTGCTGCCTGACTCATTCTATTGAACTTTTCCTGCTCAGAAGCTCCCTCCTCTTGCTAAGGTAGCTGTTAACCAGTTCAGCACCACTGGGCAGCAGCTACTGAGAACAGCCACAAGAGCTACACAAGGATAATTAAAAAAAACAAGATTTTTGCTCACACGTGATTGGATAATATGTCAGGACAGCTTCACCGGAACTTCATTTGAGCTAACCCCTTTGTAGATTAGCCATACTGTGCACACGATTTCATAAGCTACTGCTGGGAAAGGAGGTACTGGTGATAAATACTGCACATGTACGTTATGCTTCTTTTTCTACTCAAAACTCAAAAACAAGATGGCATACCATTTTTTATACATTCCCATTCGCTTAGCTCACACACTTATTTTTTGTTTAGTAAGCACATTCAGCAGCTGATTTAACTGCCTCTAACCCACTATATAAGGAAATGGCAAGCGGGCGGGGGTCCTCCCACTCTAACTGCACATGCGCACCCCCCGTGGGCATGCAGCATGGAGATCGGTGGTGCGCTGTGTCCCTGGTATCACCAATCAGAGTTAAGATCCGATGATGCCAGCTCTGTCGTGTGATCAACTGTGTCCAATCACAGCTGATCGCATGTAAATAAGGAAATGCCGGTTATCAGCAGTCCTCTGCTCACATTGACAGTGCGTGAGGAGAGGGCATCTACACTGCTCATCAGGGCACTGATGATCAGTGCCCTGATGATCAGTGTAGCCCCATCAGTGCCACCTGTCAGTGCCCATCAGTGCCACCTGTCAGTGCCCATCAATGCCATATACCAGTGCCCATCAGTGCACATAAATGCCACATATCAGTGCCCAACAGAGCTGCCTTTCAGTGCCACCTGTCAGTGCTGCATATCAGTGCCAGTCGGTGTGCCTATCAGTGCCACCTATCAGTGCCCCAGTGCCACCTATCAGTGCCCGTCAGTGCCGCCTAACAGTTCCAATCAATGCTGCCTAACAGTTCCAATCAGTGCAGCCTATCAGTGCCAGTCAGTGCAGCCTATCAGTGCCAGTCAGTGCAGCCTATCATTGCCCATCAGTGCCATATACCATGTTTCCCCGAAAATAAGACATTCATTTCAGGGTAGGTCTTATACTTTAGCTATTCCCAAAAATAGCACTAAGTCTAATTTTCAGGGTAGGTCTTATTTTAGGGGAAACAGGGTATGAGTGCTGCCTTTCAATGCCCATCAGTGATGCCTGTCAATGCCCATCAGTGGCACCTACCAGTGCCTTCTCATCAGTGCCACCTATCAGTGGCCATCACTGCAGCCTCAGTGAAGGAGAAAAATTACTTATTTACAAAATTTTATAACAGAAAACGCTAATGGTTTAATACTACTACTTTCAGGGCCAGTTCACACCATAGAAACGCAGTCCAGATGCTTTCCGGATGAGTTTCCGCATGTGCATTTTTGATGCACTCCGGATCATTTTTTGATGCATTCTAGTGTGTTTTTTATGCATTCCAGTTAATTTTCCCCCTCTCTCTTTTTTCTTCAATTTAAATAGGGATATGTGTGTCAAGTGCGGTTTTGGTGCATTGTGGTGTGTTTCCAGTGCTTCTGGTGCATTTTACCGCATTCCAGTACAGTTCTGTGCAGAAAAAATGCAGTGTGTTCTACTCTTTTTTTTCTTTATCCGAAATGCACTGGAACTGCAAGCAATGATGTGAACTATGGCATTGAC